GCAGTGCCAGATAAATAAGTGGCAGTGCCAGATAAATAAGTGGCAGTGCCAGATAAATAAGTGGCAGTGCCAGATAAATAAGTGGCAGTGCCAGATAAATAAGTGGCAGTGCCAGATAAATAAGTGGCAGTGCCAGATAAATAAGTGGCAGTGCCAGATAAATAAGTGGCAGTGCCAGATAAATAAGTGGCAGTGCCAGATAAATAAGTGGCAGTGCCAGATAAATAAGTGGCAGTGCCAGATAAATAAGTGGCAGTGCCAGATAAATAAGTGGCAGTGCCAGATAAATAAGTGGCAGTGCCAGATAAATAAGTGGCAGTGCTGGATAAATAAGTGGCAGTGCCAGATAAATAAGTAGCACTGCCACTTATTAAGCACTGCTTGTTACAAAAAGTGTTTTCATCTGATGTCCCTTACTGGGCAGCATACTTAACGTTGAAAGCTAACATCACATTTTCATTGACTTGGTGTTTTCTTCTCGTTTCCGAATTCCATTGGTCTCGACTATTCCTCGCTCTTTTTTTTTTTTCTTGAATGGGATTCGTCGTTGTTTCTTCCTTTCCAACTTCTAGTGATTCTAAATCGACTTCTTACACTTTTTCTGGTTAACATTTTCTTTCCCTGTCCTGTCGACCATCACAAAATGTATACTTCAGTGTGGCCTTACTGGTATGACGTCATAATTTGTGGTATATGAAGTATTTTTCGAAATTTTTTGCACTCTTCCGTAGGAGTCTTCGTGCTAAAGCACTAGACACCAAAAATAGTCTCTTTGGAGGAAGTATGCAAATGGTTTAATTGGTGCATGTCACTAAAAATCAACCAGTACATTCTTTTTGGAAGTGATCAAGGCAACAAAAAGCTAACTTGATGTAATTTCAAAAGTGAATATTTTTGCATTTTCAGTTGACGTTTTTGTGTCCCTTGTTTGCTTTTTTGGGGGTTGTGGATACGGGAGTCTGACTTCAATTAAAGGTGCATGCACAAGTACTCATTAGTTAATTCCTATGTCTTTGTTTGCCATTCTCGTGAGTTGAAAAATATCCAATGACTTGCTCTGACCAGAAATCAAATCCATAATTTACACACGACTAATATTTCTGAACAGTTTTTAATACTGACCCTGTTATTTACCACACTAGGGGCTACATGCAAGTTTACTAAGAAGGGAAGACTTCAAGAATCTTATCATACAGTCTCTACTGGACAACAATCAAATTGTTATCGCGTTTAGCTTAGCCTATATTCTCTTGTTTAATAAAACCCTTTTATGAACAAGTTTGTAAATGCAGCGTCATCTGGTTTGGTAGTAAGGTCATATTAAACTGGGGATTTGATCCGTCCATCAACAAATGTTTGTTTGAAAGTATCAAAACCTTTTTGAGCTATCATGTCAGTTATTATGACTGTTTATTCTAAGATGAGCGAGAAAGAAGCTTATCCTTTTTTTAATTCCATCAGTGAAATGGAATATTCCCTTTTGTTGAATTGTAATAATGAATTTAGATCATGTTTGGTCAAATTGCCCGTTTGGTTTAGTTAATATGCTTCAGATGAAATGGTTTTTATTAGAGTTTTCCACTGATCATCTTTCTTATTTGCTTTCACAAAGAGAGTTTTATTTGAAAGAAACAGAATTTAAAAGAAAGGAAGAGGCACGCGATTTGCCAATTCAAAAAGATTTTCTCGCGACACACTTGCTGACTTGCATTTCTTTCACAAGAAACTGACTACGAATATGCACGGTTGACTGACTTAAGTAAACCTATATTCTTTTGCACCGTATCTAACTTTGAACATTGACAATTGCAAAAAAAAAGTTGCAATTTATGGTATCAACAACGTCACTTTTGGTCAAAATTTAATTTGATTTGCTCCTTAGGCCTTAATATTTTGTTGCCAAATCCTAAACGAAAAGTATTCTTAAATTTCGAATTTTATGGGGAAAGTAACAGCAAGGCTTCCTATTGAGGATTTACCTTCTCCATTTGATTATAATACAGTGTTTCATTGTTATTATTCCACTCTCGTTATTTAGATCACAAAATTGGAGCATGCTACTTTCAACTTTTTCTATGAGTATCGCTTATCATCCGAGATTGACTTCAACAAGTGGAAATGACTGGAAACTGAACACGCTTTTTTGTTCGTACAAACATCGACTACAAAATAAATATGACAAGTTTTAAATCGGAGTCTCATTTTCACGGTTTTTGGGAGAGTAGCCAGCATTCAAAGTGTGCATGCAAAATAAAAAAGGCTTGAAGGATCTCTACTTTATTCATATTACACTTATTCTCTTTTAGTATCTGTCAGCTGGAATTAGTTTTTTAGCTGTGTAATCGCATTCTCTTCTATATGGCTGCCGGTGCAGGAATGCGTTTCCTGAGTGTTATCATTTTACCAACAGTACTTCATTTAAAATCAGTGAAGTATAATTATAACACCCTCAAAAGCATTTTTTCTAACCCCCTCCGGTGTTTTGTAATCGGTATCTTCCTTCGACTGTATTTGTTGTGTTACCCTGCTGGCAGAGGCGTTTATTTGTTAACTTCCACTACGGTCCACGTAAAAATAAAGTCCTCTGCGCTCCGCCTGTTAAATCTTGTTCGAGCATGCGCCTGGGAATTATTTAATTTAATTTAATGTAATTTAATAACTTCTAGAGCGCTATTTTCATTCAATGATCAACAGCGCTTAACAACTTAAAATACTACAGTAAATTCAAATTTATAAAACTAATTACATGTACATTTGAGGCGAGAGTACATGTGAGGGTACATGTGAGGCGAGAGTAGTCCAGTGGTGAGTGGGCTGGACTCTGGGTCAAATGGCCCGGGTTAAAGTCCTGGCTGGGGCTTGACGTTGTGTCCTTAAGCAAGAGGCTTCACTCACATTGCTTCGTCTTCTCGGATAGGACGTAAAGCCGGAGGTCCCGTCTCCTGCACCTATCAATTAGTTAATTTCGGCAGGGGACGTTAAAGAACCCACATCACGAGATTACTGTGATGTGGTCTGGCCTGTTTACTGGGAAAGCTCGGGACCGTACTGGAAGAATATCGGCCCTCGGTCTTTTTCGTACGGACCGAGCGCAGCGAGGTCCGTACTGCCAAGACCTCGGGCCGATATTCTCCCAGTACGGCCCTCGCGCTTGGTTAATAAGATATATGTACACACATCACTCAATTCGCTGGCAGCGAGCTTCTAAGTACTTGTAACGGTTAAAACTGAGCGTGTTTCTCGCTACAAAATAAGTTCAGGTGAGTTTCGGTCAGAAAAAGCAAACATGTCCATGGCTTGACTTGAAATAATAGGCGCCAAAGTTAGGGTGATTTTGCATGCATACTGATCGCTGGGGATTTGTGGCCATTGCCGACTTTCATATCGTGAGAGACTGGAGCGAGTTTTGCCAACGCCGGACAAAATTGGCTCAAAAACTGGAAGGGGAATTTAGATCACGTGATTGCGCGAACCCTAAATTATTAGGTATCAGCTAATTCATTTCCTCAATTGCTTGATCGATCAAACGCCGTCTCTGCGGAGAACTTATCTACCACTTTCTATGTCTAACATCGAATACCGAACCTTGCGCTGCAGAGTTAGCCAAGGAATCGACTGGCAAACTGAAGGTGATACTTTACTCACGCTATGTGAGGGGCTGATAGCCGAGGGAAGTGAATATAATATTGGAGATGCTGCTGCCTTGCTCAGAGAATTAGAGATTCAGAATAACTTAGGAATCGATCATCTCGAGGTACTGAAAGAACTCTTGCGTGGAATAGAGAAATGGGCCTTGATCGACAAAATAGTAAGCTTCGAGAACAAAAGGAAAAATTACCAACGTATGTTGGAGAAGATAATCTGTAAACTCGACGAGTTAAATGATCTAGAACGACTAATCAATGTCTCTGTTCCTTATCTGGCGGAGGACAGATTGGGCGGAATAGAAAGTGTTCGTGTCCTGTTCAAGGAACTTGAAAGCAAGAACCGTTTAGGACCTGCCTATCTTGGAATTTTAAAAAAGATTTTGGAGGAAACGGGAGAAGATGAACTCTTATGGGAAGTAAATGAATTTGAGAAAAAACGGAAGGACGAGGATATCACAGACAGACAAAGAAAGGAAGCTGAGGAAAGAAATCAAGGTGAGAGTTGCTCTTTGCTCTCTTTAGAGCTGGCATGTATGAATTAGGAAGAAGACTGGATTCAAATAATTATAAGTTACAATGAAAAGTGCACGCACGTACATTTTGTTTTTTTTCTGTTTGTTTCTGAACAACATGGCTGCCTGCACCGAACTCCGACTGACTCTGACTCTATACTACCGGTAGCTTAGCGTAAGGATGTGTTATTCCCATCGCTTTCAGGGCAGTGAATCCCGTTACAAACGAAGTTTCCAAAGTCCCTTTCAAAGAATTCGTCACTTCCGAGTTTTTGAACTTATCAAATATTGGAAAACATCTTCAAAAAAGTACACTCGGGTGTTGCAATAAACTCGACCATTGAATGGTCTAGAATTGTAGATGATAGTTCAGGCATGGTCACACTTTTCTCTCAGTGGCAAGATCAACTGAGATTCTAAGCCCTCTTACTGGTCTATGGTGGCCGAGAACTGCCAATAAAAAAATCACATATTTTTGTGTAAGAAGTGTTAGTTTGACTGAGAAATAAAACAAAACAAAATAAAACATGAAGTATAATTAAATTAAATTTAAAAGTAAAATGATATGAAATTTAAAAGTACATTGAATTTCAAAAATAAAACCGCTTTACTTTTAAGTTAAACTATAATGGAAATACAATTCAAAGTAAAACATAAAATCAATTTCATATGAAATTCAAAGTGCAAGTGAAAGTGAATTTCACCGTGGCTGAGTGCTGCCAGTACCATCATTCTATGCGCGCTTGCAAAACTTTGCGCCTGTGGTTCCATTCTTGCTCCCTGATGAAATCCCCATGACAACCAAGTATATGAGATCTTGATCCAAAGGTAAAATTCCGTTTGGTGGTTGTTCAATGGTACACTGTGTGTGCATAATACTGATCAGTCAACATATTTTGCCTTCTGAAAAATATATTTAGACTTCCTTTCAGTAGCATTTTTCTGGGAAAGGAAATGAACCCTACAACAATACTCTTTACATCCAAGCATGAAGATATTAACAGAGAGTAAATGCATAAATTTGAAGTGATCCCTAACCTCCCAGGCCTGTTAAAGCATGTTACAAAGGGTTATTGTCGGAGAAAGCAAAATAAGTGATTGATAATAGTTGTATTAATATAATGGCCATAA